CACCCCCCCCCAAAAAAAATACCCAACAAAACAAACGACCCCAAAAACGAAACAAAATTTAAGTAAGTGTGCATGTAATGTGTAAATGTCATCATCTGCAGGTCTACGCCAACTCCTCTCCCTTCACTGGCCTTCACTCTGATCCACACAAAAGATGGAGCAATGTGAAGTTTGTTGCCTTGAACTCAGACCAGGTTCTCAATCTACATTTAGACGGGCCTTTTGGGGCCTGATTACATGAAATGACCAATTATACCCCCCCCCCCCACCCCAAACTGGACACTAACATTCATATCTTAAAAGTTAAATCGTTGTGTAACCGTAAAATTATATAAAAACTGTACAATGGATTGGAGACCCTGTCAAGAAATCAAGCGGTGCCTAATTTTTGTTTTGTCGTGTTGTTTTTTTGTTTGTGCGATCTAGATCTAGCTCAGATTTGGCAGAGACGAACTGTGAGACAAAATCCCTCCGAAACTTGCCGCGGTGCGGGATAATACTTTGCAAATTAAAAAAAATAATTTATCATCTTCATCATCATCGTAAAGTGCCAGAACTGAAACAGACATTGGCGATCAAGGTTCCCTGTTCATTTCTCCACTCAGATGCTCTAAAAATCGCACATCATGCCGATCTTTCCTCTTTACCCTTTTGTTCAGGTTTTCTTACTCAGTTTCTCTAAGTCAGTGACCTGTTTGTTGTCAGATCGGGGAGGTGGCCAAAGCAAATAAACGTAATTTACAAACCCTCGATTGAACAGTGATGATTTTGATTGACTCTTTTTACTTCGCCTAACCTTTCTTTTCTTTTCTTTTTTTCTTTATTTCTTTTCTTTCTTCCTTCTTTTCTTTTTTTTGGGGTGGGGGTGGGGGGATACCAAAAGGATGCAGATCAAGCATGCATTAAACCAAAAGGTCGAAGTTGATTATTTATTTGTTTGAAAGTTGTAGCTTTCAGAGAATTTTGTAGATGCTTTCCCAAAAATGGATCAAAATGGTGTTTGTTAATCGTACAAAGTTTGCATCTTTGAAATGGTACAAGTAAAAGTTTCTTCACATGCATAAAAAAGTAGATCAAACTGTGTTTAGGGGGTGGCATTGATGTGTTTTCCAGCCTAGCTGAGTGGCTTACCTCTATGGACATAACTCGATTTGCTTTTACTAGATAAAAGTTGTTTTAAGAACTGATGGATCTCCAGGTGTAATTAGGATGAGGTGCAAATACTAACACTTAATTGAATGTGATAAGTAAGGGTAGAAACATGGCAATGTGTGTCCTGTCTTTTGTAATAAAATACATATGTTGCCCTAGGGATCTTCCTTAGGTGTTAGGAGTGCTTCATTGGTAAAGGCCTTTCAATCTTTATTAAATGATGATCTTGATGGATCTCTCTTCCCATTCCTTAATGCTAATTTGTACCCGATCTTGGTTTGTACTTTCCGAGTGTTCTAAATTGATAGTATTTAAATTGATAACAAGAAAGTCAAGCCATGCTGACTTTTGGTTGGTTTTAGGCCCCCGGAAGAGGGGCAGGTGGCTTTTCGGATCATCAGAGTATGCCTATTTTTGCTCCTCCTCACACCCCTACCTGGGCAGTGCTACTGACTGAAGTGTCTTTAGGCTCTTCCCAAAAGGGGAGATACATGTATTGGCATGTGCTTGTGCACTGTAGAATTGTAAATATGCTGATTTATCAATGTCATGCTCATACCTGTCTCCGTGGTTATAGGCACCCCGCATAATTTAGCAAAATTTGATAATTTTTTGTACCTATAATTTCTGATTATTTTCTTTATCATTATTTGTTAAAATTAACAGAATCGCATAATCTCACATTTTTGGGCTCAGTTTGCATAGTTTCATCATTTGTTTTTGCATAAAACCACGGGGACAGTCATACCGTGCGGAACAACATAGGGGGAACTGCTACTTTCTCTTTCCTCACCCTTACTTTCGTCATTTTACCTCTACTTCTTTTGTTTGTTTGTCAGTCTCTTGTGAACTGCTAATTCCAGGGTGCCTTGGTAATCGAAGCAGACATTGTGCTGTTGAGGCAAGAGAGGTGACCAGAGTAAGCCTCACTCACCGTTTGGATTTCTCTGTTGACATCCACCACTTGGCGCTCATATGACCTTAAGCAGTTGCGAGCGCTAAAAAACCTTACTAACTAAAACTAAAAGCTCCTCATCAAGAAAAAAAATCAATTCAGTTTTATGTTTTCGTTATACAGACTCTCTTGCATCAGTGTGTTGAGAGTTGCGACCTTTGGGGAAAAAAACAACTTGACAAAGAGCTTGGCTAGCAATCTAGCTACGACTTCGTTGCAGAAAAAAGTGAAAACTTTGGAAACTGGCCTAAGCTATCAGTTTCATTCGGTGTGGCCGCTTGTCATTCAGTTGTAGCCCCTCGCATTTTTGCTAATTGGCGTGTACTTGATTAACTCTTGAATGCTCTTCGATGTCGATGGTTTTGTATACACAGGTTTAGATGATAGTACTTTTGTTCTGTTTACAGAGCATGCTGACTCCTGATTTTCATTGAGGACCTGCAAATTGACCTTGTTAGTGGTTGTAGTACGAAAAAAGAGTTGACCTGTTACGGTTCGGGCACTACAGTATCATGATGTTTTGTGTGTGTGTATGTGTGTGTGTGTGTGTGTGT